GAATGAGGTTAATAAGAAAAGCATTGGTGAAGATATTAGACAATATAATAAGAAGAAGAAACTTCAGCTTGAATCAACTATCACTTTTGATACTATGTATGCATCAGAAACTGTTAACAATGATGAGGAGTCAGATGAGCCAGAGATTAATAATATTACCAATTGTATTCACTCAGAATCATCTCATGAAATAGAGGTAGTCGCTTCGCAAATAGTCAATGTAAATGTCTTTTAGGATATAAAAGTCAGGCTTTCTAAAAATTCTGAATTATTACGTAATTCAAAAACTATGAACACTGTTTACTGTTTTTCTGAAAATTCAAATTTGTCACAAGATTCTTCTAATAGATTACCAGGTTTCGAAGAAAACCATCAATCATAGATACTGTAAATAGCTAGACTTACTCCACTGGGAATCCTTTCTTAAAAATAGTTACCAAATTTATGTAAGGTTTATTAGAAGAGCTGTTGTCTTCTGATAACTGACTTCTGAAACATACAAAATTTTCTTTTCTAAAACTATAGTTTCTGGATCAATAAGTATTAAGAAATTTGTCAATTTATTCTGCTAAGCAAATAGTGCAAAAAATAAATCGATTATGGTGAAGTAAACAGAGATTTCATTATGATAGTACTATTTTGAAAAATTTGAAGACAAGATTGTAGAGCTTAAGTCTGAAAATAAAAAACTTACAGATTAAAGATGGCGTTGCAATTAGTTGCAACCATGTGATACTTATTTATCACTAGTTGTAACTAGTTGTAACTCAATTTTTATTAATATTACAACTAGTTGCAATCCTATAATACTTATTTGTTACTAGTTGTAATCAGTTACAGTACTATCTTTATTACGGATAAGATTGCAAAATCACAAATTTATGCTGCAATGAAATTATACTTTACAGATATTTCTGTGGATATTTATAGAAGATAATAAGAAAAACAAGAAAAATTAATAAGCTATTTAGTTATAAATATGATTCTGTAACTCTGCAAAAGATAAAAGGTATAGGTGAACATATAATTTAGCAGATCACTTATAGTGTTTATAGTATTTCAAAACTCACTAATTCTCAAATCGAATATATCATAGAATAGATCAAATAAAGATAATCACTAGTTCTGTAAACGAAATCTCTGAACTTGTGATTACTACTTCAGCTTATGACTCTAACTTAGGTGATAATTTTAGAGATATATTAGATGATACAAATTATTTTAAGTCAGACAATGAATTTGAGTTCAATGCTAATAAATCTGATTCTAATGTATATTTCAAATCCAATGACTCTAACTGATGATGAGTATGATCACAAACTTCATGAAGGGCTTATTCATAAAGAAATAGCAAGAATAGTGAAGTTAGAGAAAAAAATACCAACTGAGCCTAAAGTGAATGATGACGATTTTGATAAAATACTCATAGAAATTTACAAGAACTGTGATATATATTTTAATGATCCTGTATCTCAATTAATAATGAGTTCTACTATCTCTCTAGTGACTACCTAGGAAAATTATTAGATGAATTGCATACTTGTTTAGACTGATTATCATATTTTTTTTTGAATCACGTGGGTGACTTAGATATCGTGAGTAAAACATTATCATTAAACTTCTCTGTAGTAATTATGTCACTATATCTGCAGTTATTTATTTCCATTTATTTTTTTTCAAAAATTTGAATTCATATTTCTAGAGTCAAGAGTAAGTATAATTCGTAAAAAGAATAAAAGACATATTCATATTTAATTCACATCATCAGCCAATAAGACCTAGTCTAGAAGCAGATACAGAATTATAAAAACTTGTGTATCAAGGTCTAATAGTTGATGAAGTTCACAAAGTATTATCATATGATCGAAAAAGTATGCCTTAGGTTGATAATTTTATTAATTTTTTGATTAAGCTTGAAAACCAATACGATGATCTAAGAGAAAAAGCATATTACTCCTTAATGAGAGAACTCTTAGTATGAAGGTATTTCATGATGCATTAGTCAAGATAGACTCATCTTCAAAGTAGAATATTATAGAAATAAAATAAATAATCGCATAGTTAGTTTTATCACTTAAATGGGAAAAAGTAAAAAAGGATGGTTGAGCTGTAGATCAGTTGCGATATTATACCAAGTGATAACCACAGAAAGAGTAGTAAATTTGCTTAATGATACTGAAACAAAAGTTCTAAAATACGTGGACAAATAATCATTTTCTAAAAGATGTTCTCTCAAAGTTACGTGAGTGGCTTAGATAGTATGTAAACATTATTTATATTTTCTTTTGACGTTCTGCAGTAAACATTACTACCTTATTAGTTTATATAAATTATATTCACAGAATTTACTAGGCATAGTAGTATGTCACCAGCATCTTTAGAAGATCAGTCTATTAATAAATTCAGCTAAGAGAATTATTTTTGTGTTGCTATACTGATGAACTTTCTTCAATGTTCTGGTATATTCTATCTTACTTATTACGCAGTTCTGAATTACTAATAAAAAATACATCCTGATTTACATATGAATCGTAAGACAAGGCAATGTTAAAAAGAATCAAAAATGGAAATAGAACTGATTAGAATCAATAATTTACAGATTCTCGAATAAATGATATATTTTATTATCCTACTAACATTAGTGCATATAAATTACGTATATAGGCTAATCAAATCTTAATTCATTTTTTAAATAGGAATTAGCAATACGTAATCTAGCATAGGTGATTTATCATCTACTATTTTTACAGATCTCGATCCATGATGAATATTCTTTGTTCTAATTTTTTCAATAGAGGTATATCAGCTAATTTAGATAATAAACAGTAGATATACCATTACTCTGTTAGTATAAGTTTACAGTATATCAGTTTAGTATGTTCAACAGATTTTACTTTTAACGTAATTTTTTCACCTGAAAAGAATGGACCATATCAAATAAGCAGTATATTTTATTAGATAAGCTATGCATATTTGCAAATTGTGAGATACAAGAAGTGTAAAATTTACGTCAATACTCCTAATAATTTTATTCCTAGAATGGTTAATTTTTCGCAAAAATATTCATGTAGATCTGTCTGATAATTTTTTATAAATATCCTGCCTATTTCCTTCACTTTTTGATCTATATTATATGTTAATAATACCAATTTTTATATCAAATTGCGTTACAAATAAAAAGAAGCCTGCCTTTTTTATTTTCAAAATAATAAAAAATAATCATTTCAACCTTTAACTGAGAGGTCTCTTTGGGATCCCATTTTTCAGTTGACACACTATTTTCATATAGACAGTTTATTGAAGCAAATAGTGTCTCATTAAATATATTTTATTTCTCTTTCTTTAGACATAAATGAATTAAATAAATAGGAATAGGAGTGAATTTTAGTTCGAAGACAACTTCATATAATGTAGATACTGTACACTATATAATAGCAAGGCTATCTAACAATTTATTAGATATTTTTTATTAATAAAAAACTTTACTCTTATGTAAGACCTTATGGCTAAGTATTTATGAAAAAAATATTATTATTTTTTATTGTTTGAAATATATTGTGTAAATATGGGAATACAGGAATACACTAACTTTTTTCATCTTTAGGTATAATCGCTGGATAGGATTTTAGTAATTTTTTTTTCAGACATAAGAGATATATACATAATATCATTTTCATATATAGCGCTTTCAGCCAAATGTTTCAGATCTATATTTTGACGTAAATTCTCTACGCTAGTATATATGAGTATTTATTTTACCAAATGATTATAAAACATATAAAAGAATTATTTCTAAAGAAGTGTTTTGGTAATTTTTTTCCTTTAACAAGTAAAAAAAAATATCAATTTCATATAAAACTAATAAAATAAAAATTTATCTAAAAAATGTTCTCAAATACAGATATTTTCTTGATCGCAATCTTTAGTATTACAATCGTAATTTACGAGATAGTAACCTATAGCAGTGTGTAAAATTCATGTGCACATTAAATTTTTGTGTGCATATATTACACAGCATAAAATGTGCACAAATAATTACTAAAAATAGATAAATTATATATAAAAATGGATAAATTATTTATAAAAATGAAAATACTATATAATATATGTATTAATTTTCTATTTTTAGTACAACTTGTACATGACTTTTGGTATAAATTTTATACACTGGGTATTAGTATTTAACCATTTAGTCAATATTTGGTTATAACTATTTGATTATTTGGTTATAATCAAAAAAGCCAAATTTTATTTTAAATTTGGCTGACTAAAATTTTTTTATACAATAGTTCACAAAAGAAACAGAAATATAATTAGTTAATTGCAAAAAAAAATTTAATACTTCTGATATTTAGAACGTTAAACATTGTAAAAATTAACACTTCTGATATTTAGAATATTTTATTTTATAAGAATTTTAACATCTTAAATATCAGAGACATCAAATTTTACAATTTTACAAAAAATTGAATATCCTAAATATCAGAGACATTGTGATAGGTAAAATTTTATATAGATTTAATTGGTAGATTAGAAAGTTAATTTTATTACTATGTAGATCTTTAAGAAGTTTATTTTATCTATTTTATTACCATTGATCATTATGTAAATCTCTAATATTAATTTTATTACCCTTGATAATCATGTAAATCATAGATATTCATTTAGTTACTTGCAGATCTGGTAATTTTATTGACACAGCAACTTTATTGCCTAATGAAAATGGCAATTTTATTTTCTTTGATATATTTAGTTTAGTTTATTTTATTAATTATTTAACATGTATAAATATCTCTGTATTTTCTTTAAGTCTCAACACTGATGAGATGATAATCTTTTAAGTACTAAATTTATATATTATATTAATAAAGAAGTATAATTAATCAAGTATAAAACTTATTTTTCACGATTCTTTAAAACTGTTATAAATTATTTATGACCTTTTTGCATTTGCAATTCCTTTAACTATTATTAATAAATCTTTTGTTTGATATGATATTGATTTATTATATTAGTTTGGAGTCTCTGAAGTGTAATCTTTAAAATATCTTTGAGTTATTTTTGATTTATCTTTATATTTGCTTTTGTATTTATCTTACGTGTTTTTATATTAAGAATAATATTAGATGTTATTGTGAATCCTCACCTATAATTCTTTGAGTAATTATCTTAATTTTATTTATCTTTTTAAGATTTTAATTAAAGTTATGAAACTATTATAATAATATTAATATTTTATTATTTTATAAGAAATTTGAATGTCTTGAATGTTAGAGATATTAATTTTTTTTTGCATTTTGCAATAAATTCTATAAATTGCAATTTGCAAATAAACTGTGACCAAAATTGATAAAAGAATTAACTTTAATAATAGAACTTTTT